ATTCGAATTTTCAACACAAAATATACGAGTCAGAAATTCAGCGTGTGCGCATCACAAAAAGGATTTCCAACAGCCTGTTGTAGACTTTTATCAACATCTGACCACTTCTCTGACTGCATACTGAAAATCAGATGATTGACCAGATAGAGTTTAGCAACAAGAAGTCCTGGTTGGGAACAAACCAACCATGAGCGAATTGCTCAACAAATATGTTGGAGAAAATGAAAATGGATTGGGCATACGTTGAGGAGGCTGTTATATGAACATCGCACACCAGGCCTTCGAGTGGAATCCATATGGAAAGCGATGAGTGGGTCGTCAGTGCGATGGTGACATGGAGGAGACTGTGCGAGGAGGAGATAGATTTTGCGCAATTCTGGAGATGTGTTTTTGAAGCCCCATGCTCCCGTGGGAGCCCAAGAGAATAACAATAATATATATATGCAGAGGCTTAATGTGATTGTTTATTTCTGTAGACTATTTCTTAATTATTATATCCACTTCTGTGGATATTGATTTTTTTTTTTTTACTGACCTGATATTTGACCTTATGCAGGTGTGACTGTTTATCGATTGACTGGATAAATTTCTTTTATTTTATATTCACATGTCGGTTAACTGCTAATTGATTTAAATGCCACCTGTTCAGGGAAGCAGTTGTAATGACACTTGTGAGATTAAAGACCACCTGTTCACTCAGTGTGGTATGTGTGTATGTATGTATGAGTAGACCCCAAGGAAAATGAATTGTACCTTAGAATTTTTTGAGACTTAACCTGGAGGATAGTCACTACTACAAAGTATTATATAATTGATATCCTTAAGCTAGATTATGAATGGTCGAGTATCGTGTTTAGACTATAAAGACAGTTACCAACTACCATCCAACCCACCCACCCACCCACCCCATTTATATCGAAATTTAGCTGAAAATGACTCCAACTATAACAGCGATAAAACTCACAAGGGTTGACATGGCACAAAGTGTCACTTCTGTTATACTGTTTAGTTGTCGTAAATCAGCACAGAATCTGTATTTCCCATCTGCTGCTTTTTTTCAATAAAAGGACTGGAGGGTTATTGGGGCTGTCAGCTTCTTGAATAATATCATCCTTTAACGTAGCCTTCACTTGTAGTTCAATTTCTCTTTTGAAATGATATGGAACCCTTCGTGTTGTGAATAGTATCATTTTCTAACCCGTCATCATAACAAAATAACCGTAAGAGTTTCCATCTCCAGTGAACAGATGATTGTATTCTCTAACTAATGTGGTTACATTCAGTATTTTTGATACCTGCATTCCTGATGGGCAGGCAGAAACGAGACTTAAAAGCTCTTGGTGGAATGATTACCGGTGGAGTCCGACAGTACGATAGACAGACGGCAGGCAGTGAAGTAATTCCGTTACTATATACTCTCATTTTCGAAGAATGAAGATCCCATATCCTTCAGCTTTCAAAGAGAGAGAGAGACAATAAGAAGGTTGTTGTGGAACTTCGATGCTGCTGTTGAATTGGCAGGCATCCAGGATGCTATGGACAAGACAATTACATTGGGGACGCTTCTGATAGATTAGGCAAAGCTGGTGTAAGACATTGTGGAGTAGGAAGGTAGGGGTAGAGCTCAACAGCTAGATGGATAGACAGCAGACACTACAGCCAGCAATTTCGTTGCCATACACACTTGCTTTCTGCTATTACACAGACGGGAGTCGACATATCTCAACACAGACATGAAGCGTTTCGGCCCAATACACATCAATCCACGGGAGAAAGACAAATTAACTTAAAAACACATTGAATGAGAAGTGGCTCCCACCGCCTTGCATTCTAAGTGTCCGTTGGAATACTTCCAATCACTGGGGATTGCAAGTTCATCCAGCGAACGATTCCTTTAAATAGGAGAGATAATGTGCATCCTAGATTCAAGTGTCAGTTTTCAGAGGTTTCATTGGTTATAGGTTTGACCACAAGTTGACAACACTTAAAGAACCACTAGAAAACCAACTAGGGGGGGGTTCTGGACAGCTGTCCCCTCCTCCTCCTTCTAGTCTCTTGGGTCTCTTCAGAAGTTCACACCCACTAGGGATCGAACTTAGGACCTTCCGGTGACAAATCGGACTCGATTACATTACTAGTGATTACCATCTAAATTAACGTTGAAATAAGGTCAGTCATGCGCTCCTGTTGTCTTTACACACACACACACACACACAAACGACTGTACATACTTTGCTCACTAACCCGTCGTTTTCGCTTTAACAAGTAGTATATATATATATTGTACATATATAAAATCCCTGTAATTTTCAAAAAACGTTACTTTTATAGTAAGAGAATTAGAGAAAGGAATTGGTAAGAAAATAAATCAATAAATATACATAAACTGTTACCATATCAACGAGAACATCTTAATTTAAGTTTATGGATGTCGGTGTATGTATGTATGTGTATGTTTATTATTCCTGTTCTTGAAAGGTGATAGTCTATAGACTCATGTAAATATGCTCAGCCAGAAAGGAGCGAGAGAGAGAGAGTAGGAGTGCGTGTGTATTTGTGCGTGTGTGTGTGTGTGTGAGAGAGGGAGAGGCAAATAGAGTAAGGTGAATGAATAAATGCTGAAATTTGATTTCACAACACACTTGTAACCTAAATTTTTAATAATAATTTTCTCTAGAGAAAATTAAACAATTAAGTGAATATATATAACAACAAGTTGACTCTTTGAGTATACATGAAAGTGTGTATAATAATTATGTATGGATTTATTCAAGAGTACAGTAAGACCGTGAGATGAAATCACACTATTAATCATTACAACTACAATTATAAGATCAATAATAACATGAAATGTACTAATTATTGTTATTATTAATTTCAGGTTAGACCAGGAGTTGATATTAGTTAACGAACCATTAAAAACCAACTAGGGAGTACTGGACAGAGCTGTTTCCTCCCAGCATCTTGGATCTCATCATCAGTAAGCACCCACCATCAGGTTTCGAGCCCAAGACCAACGAGCTCATATGCGATTCAGCTACTGAGATTCCATTAAATGTTCAGTCTGTGAAATGGTGGGTGGTGACTAGCAGTGGAATCCACTAGGATGCGCATTTCGTCCTATTCCGGACTCGTCATCTAGGTGTACCTGGATTTCTCAGTGAATGATGATGTACCCACCGAGGTTCGAACCTAGTGCCTATAGTTTCCAACTCCAAAGCGCTATCCACTAGACCACTTGAGCCACTGAGAAATGCAGGTACATCCAGATGATGAGTCCCAAATAGGACGAAGCGCTCACCCTGTATTCCACTGCTAGTCACCATCCACCAATTAAATGCCTAGACGTCGTCGAAGCATCTGCACAAGAAGGCGACATGTCAGTGTCTGACCGAGCACTTCGGTTCAATCAATCGACGCGAAAATCTAAAATTAAATTCTCAAGCATTAGTTTTGTAGGGATTTAGTTTAACTGGATGTAATATTTCATCATGAGCTGACATCGATTAAAGAACCACTGGAAAACCTACAGGGAGTACTGGACAGAAGTTTCATCCTAGCTTAGGACTCTTCATTGTTACGTATCCACCTGGGTTCGAACCCAGAACCTTCTGGTTACAAGGCGAGTTCGGTGGGCGTGTAGGGATGAAGAATCGCAAACCAGGATGAAGCAGCTGTCCAGTACTCCGCGTTGGCTTTCCAGTGGTTCTCTAACTGATGTCAGCTCATGCTGAATACCCCCATCCAATGACAACTCCTACTAATTTTTGATATTTAGTGAGACTGGCATCAACCAATTTCATTGGCGGGAACTGCTTCCACCCTTTCGATTGGATGGACCCCACCGGTCACGACTCCCAGCAACGTCGTCCTGTAGCCTGTGACTTACGAGCATCAGATGAATTTCCAGGAATGAGTTCATAGGGTTTCTATTTGCTTCATGTTAGACCTGAAGACAATCATTTCATGTGATTAGATGATAACCCGTTAACTTAATAAGAATGATGTCATAACTTTAGACACTGGTAAAGATAAATAATTTTCAACGATTAATTTGTAGGGATTTCAATTTTAACCAGGTATTGATTGAAATCTGCATATAGAACCACTGAACATAACTGGGGAGTGCTGGTTAACTGTTTCATCCTGATGTTTGGGACTCTTCAGAAAGATTAACTTGTATTAAATATCGATCTGATGTCAATCTGTGATCAAACAAATCAAATGTCTATGAATACACTATTGAAGATAATTCATATGTTCTCCACTGACTAGCTACAGAATGAAGTGAACTGGAGTTTTAGTGAGACATTGTGACCAGTTGGGTACAACCTGTTAGGAGTGAGGACAAATACCCACAGGTGACAGTGGCTGGTGGTCATATTATGCACATCACGAATTCTTTGAACTTATGTGACTTGGAGGAATCTGGTCCAAGTGGCTGCATGGTCTACGAGATGGTTTACCCTGTCAGCAAAAGGTCCTGATTTTGGACCCCAGTAGGTGCATATTGCCGAAGAGACTTAAGAGACTAGGACGAAACAGCTTTCCTTGGTTTTCAATGGCTCTCTAACTGAGGTCACATCATGATCAGTCCTATAGTCATAGTTGTTAATATTAATCAGTAAATAATGAATAAGTTGGTCTCGTAACCCAAAGATCCGTGGTAGGCTCATGAATATGTACAACTGAGGAGTCATGGACAAGGATGAAGCAGCTGTCCAGTACTCCCCGACTGGATTCTAATGACTCTCCAACTTATGTCAGGCCATCATATAACTTGAAATTATTCAGACGCCTTCAAATCAATATTTGAAATGTTCGGAGAGTTATCCCCCCCCCCTGAGACCTCCACCCCGCCCCAAGGATACTAATCCGTGTCAACCAGTGCTGTAGTCACTGAGATATTAGAACTGAGCTTTACAGATACACGACTAACCTCATGTTATAAGATACCATTGATATATATGAATAACGAATAAATGTTGTAGAAATATTACCTGAAGTTTTGTCATAGCTTCTTCAGCCTGTTCCCTTGATTCAAAAGTTACAAAGCCGACTGGCTAAAAAGAGAAATAGAATTGATTTTATCATAAAACTGAAGTCATTTGGATCATATGAGGAAAAAGCATGTAAAATGAATCTATCATAGACTTATAACTGCTGACTTCCTGAAAGAATTAGATTTTTGTTAGATCTTAATATGATCTATCATTATTACTAATACTATTGTTTTCCTTAGGTTCCAAGTGAAGCATATAGTTTCAACAGCACATCTTCATGGTACTCGGTTAGCCAACTGGCTTCATGCCTAGCTGTTCACAAAATTTCAATCCCTCTTCACATGATCTCGACCGTATCACACTCTCAAACGTCTAACTGGTCTGGTCCCCATTTACGTTTCATTCTAGGATCTGGCGTTTGATTTTTTATTTATTTTTATTTTTGATTACAGCTTGATTCCACACTGTATTTTTGGTACAAGTATGGAATTTTCAGCGTGGATGTCGGTAGCCCGAATTTCGCAGGCCGACCATAGATATCAGGTGTGCGTCGGCGTGGGCTCGAACCCCGGACTATATACATGGTCGGCGAGAGTCCTAACCACTGTGCCACCGATGCAACTTGAAGGTACCTCCTCAGCATATGCCCAACTCAGCTCCACTTTCCTCGGCATATTTTGTAATCAGTAGGCTCTTAGCTTTGAATGGCCACTAGTAACTAGTGTGATGTGCGTAGTCCTCTCTTTGGTGCAAACTGAATTTTATCAGTCAGGTCTGGAATGTGGCCACCACCAAATCAATGTGCGCCGCGATGGTGAGCTACCTAAAATGGTGGCCACATTGCAAACCTGACTGATAGAATGCACTCCGCACCAAACAAATAAAGGACTACACACGTCACACTAGTTACTAGTGTCCAATCAAATTATCCAGTGCAGTCCTGCAAGGGGTTAGTCGCGAGCCCGAATAGCTCAGTAGTTAGCAACGTCTCTGACTGCAGGTAGCACTGGGTGACACAGATTGGAATCTCAGAAGGGACATGAGTTCCTTCAAGATGACTGCAGATACGCCATGCTGACTGGTGATTGCCAACTGGCATGAATCCTAGGTCTAGCCAAGGCTTCCTGACGATCGCCTCCAACTATCTAATATCATCAAAGGCTCTTATCTTGTTTACTATCAGCGTCCTTTATTGATTATCCTTTCTAGCCGGTCATCTAATCTTCAGCAACGACTGAAGCAAGCTAATGATAACCATTGGCCTATTGGAAATATGTGAGGGCCGAGTCTCTAAACCGGATAGAGACATACTGATCAATCTGAAATTACTGTTAAGCGAACTTAAGTCTTATTCCATGAGCAAAGTCTTGCTATAATTAAATGATTAATTTAGACTAAACACTGAAGGGGGCCTGATTAAAATTTCAATAATAATTAAAGCTCATAGTAAGATAAATGATTCCCCTAATCACATACAACAAACCGTTTACTTTTCTTGGATATTAAGAAGTAACGAATGTCATGAGTCCACTCGTTTGTTTAGCGCAAGCTAAATTCTTTCTATCTAATCATAATATCCATTAAACTGCTATAGGAGGTCGAATGTGAGCCCGAATAGCTTAGTGGTAATGTCTCCGACTGCAGCACTCGTTGACTCAAGTTAGAATCCCAGAAGAATGCGCGACTTCCTCCAAAACTGTACATGTGCTTTGCTGCCTGGTGATTGCCAAAAAGCACGAACCTTTGGTCCAGTTGAGGCATTCCACTGACTGCCCCCAAATATCTAATAAACCGCTTAAAATGTCACATTTATTATCGACAGTAATGAAATAATATTTCATGAAATTCTAATCGTAATCAGCTGATGATACGACGCTAACGAAATAAATATTCAGAACGAAATGTAGGTGGATTGTCTATAAGTTGAGGAAATATCTTTACTTATCATACCCTAGGCTGTCAAATGGGAAGTGACGAGTTGGACGTCCAACAGTGACACGGAGGAAATCCTTTAAAAAGAAAGTCAAAGCTTGTGGCAGGCAGTCGTGGAGTTAGTTGAAAATGCTAATAGAGAAACAAGTGCAAAAGAGTTGTGCCACTGGATGTCCATGTTTCAAGTTTCATTACAGTTTGATATCATTTAAAGAAGATTTGAAACCATCAGAGAATACTAGAGTGTTGTTTTGTCCTAATGTGAGGATTTCCAGCGGTGAGAAATCTCGACCAGTGGGGTCCACCAGCTCGGATGACGTTGACTGCTGGTTGCGTCAAAACTGCAAATGGAAAGAATTTAGAATTCATAAATCACAGAAATCCGATCCAAATATTTGAATAATCAGTGAGTCTGGCATCATGACCAAAATGTCTTAGGCTTGATCTCTGGTAAGGTTGTGGGTAGTTACCATTGAAGAATCCCAAAATAGGACTAAACAGCGTCTGATACCCGTCGCTGGTTTTTAACGCTTCTTTAACCGACTTCTATCCGTGATCAAGCTTGAAAATAATTTTCACTGTTCAGTAATGTTTACCGGTACACATAAAAACGATGCACTTTAAGTTGTTTACTGTCACATATTTTTGTTCACTTATTTTTTTTTGTATATACACCTGATCATCAGACCACTTACAACCGGTGAAAATAAACGATGTAACATAATAGAAAACATTTGACTCTGATAAAGACATGTGACATATATGTTTATGCATATATATATAGATTTTGTGGCATCATTCTCACAGGTGTTTACACATAACACAAAAGTCAATTAAATTCATATTGATTTTTCAAGGATCTGCCTCAGTGGTTCTACAACAGGTCCGTGTCTGGCCAACCACGCCTCATGTGGTCTGGGGTTCGATTCCCGGCAGCCGACGAGGCACTCCTTTACCTTGCTAAGCCAGTAATAAGACTGATATAGGGGGAAGGTTGGGGATGAGACCCTCTAGCAACTCCATCCTGTAAAAAGAATCACCACTGCTACAGAAACTTGAAGCCTCTAGCTTGAAGCCCTCCCTATGTTCCACTGGGAACGTAGAGGAATTATATATATATATATATATATATATATATATATATATACAGTACTAGCTGACAGTAATCTCGGAGCGTCAGTGGTTCAGTAGGGTAGGATACTCGCTAACCACACCGCATGTAGTTCAGGGTTCGATTCTCGGCCATAGATGCACTTAGCGAGTAGTAAGACCGGTTATGAGGGAAGGTTAGGCGTGAGGTTAGGTACCCGACCCAGTAACAATAAAGAATATATATTTATATAAATCATCAAAAAGTACCAAGATTTGTAAAGTTCAACTTACTGCTGTAAGTTTTCCATTCTTTCCAGCTGGTTTCAAAGTTGACGAGAGATAGCCCTGTTTATCGTTGTATCCAATCACAACATAACAGTATACAATTGTATAGTCGTAGAAGTAATAGTATTGCATATTATGCAGCAATGATGTAATATGATACAAACGAATTTATCGCAAAAAAGGGAAACAGAATAAAAACAGCAATTTAATACTGACAGGAATAATAATACTAATAATAGTTATCATTATTATTATTACTATTACATATATAAAGTGAGTTAAACTTATAAATGATAGGAAAAATCAATGCATGTATACAAAATATGCGTGTGCAATAACCAAAAAAATTCAAATTTCCCTCCCTCTCTCTCTCTCTCTCCCTCCAACTTCATTCAATCATTCATTCATTCAATGTTCAATACTCCTTTTTTGTTTAAATCACAAAGGTTGGTGGGTAAATTGAAACAAACGAAAGATAGTGCAGTTTTATATATACTAACAGTGTTTTTTTTCTGTCTATTTTGAGAACGGACCAAACAAAGAAATTATTAATAATAATGTACTACAATATAAAATAGAGCATTGATGGAAAGATGGAAGCGTAGATGCATTAGACAAGGCAATTATTCTGTGAAAGCGCATGTTAGGAATGAAATAATAATAATAATAATGATAATTTATATGTGGACATAGATTATACTGAAAAAACGACCAGTGATTCACACTAATTCTGTCATACGCAATATAGGTGCATAAAGAATGAAGACGTTACGAAATTAAAAATTATGAATTGAAAACATTTATTTCCCGATAAGAATTTAAAACAAGCAATGAAGGGGTTAATAAAGTAGGATGATTTAATGAATTCATCAAATTTCGGTAGAACTCCCCGTCAGCTGAATACTCTACATACACGAATATATATATACACTATTGAAATTACATTGGGAGATATAAGACTGACAAGTAAACAAACTACATTGAATTAATCATGCAGAAAGACACGTGCGAATGTTCTCCAGGTCATTTTCGAATAAATAAATGAGAGGAGAGGGAATATGAGAGATCAGAATTAAGATAAATTGCATTACGCTTCAATTACATCACTTAGATAAACAATTAGTCATTGGGGAATACAACGAGAATTGCAAACAGACTAATATCAATAGTAATAGTTATAATAATAACGTTGAAGTCAGTTAAGATAATGCTACTGATAAAGGATAGTTTTAAGTGAATCAAGAATAATAATAAGTAAAACGTATTGCCGTATTGGTGTTAAGGATAACAAGTTTTGCAGCATAATAAGTTCTCTTGATTATCATTATTCTTTTGTTATCGTTAACACCACCAAGCGAGTGCTTCAACAATCTGGAAAAGACCAGTCACCAATCCTCGACACTTCAAACTGCTTATATCAATTTGAGTGTGTTTGTGGCAGCAAATACATAGGTCGTACGGAAAGGCGATTGTCTACTCACATGATGGAGCATTTGCCAAAATGGTTGAAAACAGCTGAGTGCAAAGTGTCAAAATCCTCAATAACAAAACATCTTGTGGATTACGGACATGATATCGACGCGGTCAAGTCATTCACTGTTATTGTCAACAAACAAAGAAACAAGAAGATGCTTGCAATTGCAGAGGCTCGTGCAAAACGAGATTACAAACCAGGTCTCTGTGTACAAAACGAGATGGTCGTGACTCTGATTCTACCATGGTAATACGTTTTACTTAGTATTCTCTACTTGTTATTACTATTATTCTACCTCTTCTTCTTATTACTATTGTTATTATTATTATCATTATTATTATTCTTGATTCATTTAAAACTATCCTTTATCAGTAGCATTATCTTAACTGACTTCAACATTATTATTATAACTATTACTATTGATATTAGTCTGTTTGCAATTCTCGTTGTATTCCCCAATGACTAATTGTTTATCTAAGTGATGTAATTGAAGTGTAATGAATTTTATCTCAATTTTAATCTCTCATATTCCCTCTCCTCTCATTTATTTATTCGAAAATGACCTGGAGAACATTCGCACGTGTCTTTCTGCATGATTAATTCAATGTAGTTTGCTTACTTATCAGTCTTATATCTCCCAATGTAATTTCAATAGTGTGTATATATATCCGTGTATGTAGAGTATTCAGCTGACGAGGAGTTCTACCGAAATTTGATGAATTCATTAAATCATCCTGCTTTATTAACCGCTTTACTGCTTGTTTTAAAAATTATGAAGTACAACAACAGAGTATGAGTCTGTGAACGCTCAAAGGACGAGATCTCGTAAATGATTACTTCTATGTATAGGCATGGTTCTCTTCACTTGTAGCTGTGTAGTCAGGTATATTGGTATTTCAACGTGTATCTTGTCTAAAAGGATTTAAGAACACTATCCCACTGCATGATTGCAGAAAGTCAGTAGTGTAACAACGGAAGGAAAGACACACGGGTAAAGGTATACTTTTCATTAATTAAACTGCCGTTTATATTATCTACAGTTTATATTCTTTAATCAATCACCACTGAGCATGTGTGTGATTCCGGTTTATATCAGAAGCTAAGAAATAGAATGTTCATATACATACATAGTATTCTTTTGTTGTTAATGCATTAGATAACCGTGGGAAATTCTATTCTGTGTGTAACATCAAATAGAATGTTCAAACAGATTAGATATTTTGTATTCTATTGCTAATTCCGACTTGAACTGTTAGAATATGGGAGAATGATGTCTCCTTGGCACACATCGTCTGTATCACACCACCACAATAGCAGTAGTAGTTATTTTTATTCATTATTTCCTTGCGTTTCGAGTGAAACATAGGGCTGGCTTCAACAATACATCTCCAGTTTGTACTGTTTCCTGCCGTCCTCTTTAACTGGCTCCACTACTGCCCAAATTCTCTCGTCTCTTCCTCACACGATCTCCTCCATGTCACCTTCGCGCCGACGACTCTCACTAGTCACTTCCCAACGGGATTCTACTCGAGGACCTGGCGTGCGATGTCATTCAGCGGCCTCCTCAATCTATGCCCGAACCATCTCCACTTTCTCCTACATGTGTGTTGAACGATCGGCTCTTGCCTATTGGTTTGTTCCCAGCGAGATTTTCTTGTTACTTATTCATTCTGGCCATTTGATCTTCAAAATGGAGCCAGCTAAGTGGGCAGCTATTGATGAAAGTCTGCAACAGGCTGTTGGAAATCCTTTTAGTGACACGCAGTACAAGTTTCCGATCCATATAGAAGAGCCGATTTGACATTGGTGTTGAAAGTTCGAATCTTGTTTCTTATATTGAGTGCGGAAGATTTCGAAACTGGTTTCAGGTTGATGAAGGCGTTTCTTGCCTTCCATATTCTGGCTGGCTAGCTTTGATATCTTTGTCTATTCCGCCAACTGTGGTTGAAACGATGCTTCCCAGATAAGTGAAGAAGGCAACCTCTGTGAAATCTTTCCCGTTGATGGTGACTGATGCTTGTTGTTGTTGTTGTTGTTGATTAGCCATCTTCTTCACCTTTGTCATCCGCATGTTCACACGGAGTCCTGTCTTCACTGCCTGTCTCTTCAGCCAGTTTGTTGGTTGTCGCCTCCAAATATTCCAGTTTGTTTGACATTGAACATAAATCACCTGAGAAATCCAGATCTTCTAGAGTCTTCTATCGGTGGTTCAGCATATTGCTGACTCCTCGCCCCCCCCTAAAAAAAACAGTATGACGCGCCTCTTTAAGTTTTCCGCTGTGAATCACCTGACACGTGGCAGACATTGTCATGTAGCCAGCTCTTGAATGAAGTTCACAAAGACAGTAGTAGTGGCTCATTAAGGAGTTCAGTAATCGAAAACCTTATCAACACTGGTCATTCCATATCAGCAAACGCCTCCTTCAAAGTAATCTGCCAAAGGCAAAAGCTTCCGCCTTCTCTGTATTGCTGAAGCTTTATCCAGTTGGGATTGCTTTGTTTTCTTTTATTATGATTATTATACGTACCGGAGGATGAAATCAAGGTCAATTGGACATACGCTGAAGAGACTGATTCAAGTGACGTCACACATCAGACCAACTAATGTGGAATCCAAATGGGGAACTTAAGAGTTGGACATATATCCGAGGGTGAAATGTAGATTATACTATGAAGAAGAAATGAAAGCAATATGAGCAGGTAGTCATCGAATTAGCTGAAAATGATGATAGAGCGTCGAATACAATGGAGGTGTGTCACTGAAGCCAATGTGTTTCACTTGACATACAAAGAAAGGATAATAGTAATAAGGCTTAGCGAATTCCTAATTCGCAAATTACTTAGCTATTCGTAATGTACACAACTCCCAAGGGTGAAACAAAGCTTGTCAACCGACACAAGGTCAAAATATACTTGAAGGAAAATTCATCATTTTACAGCTGCCTGAAGGAACAAAAGTTAAAATGTTGCATAGATGTGTGTCATTTCAATTCTGTACACTTCAATAAGCAAAAGATTCATACAATGAAAACAACATAAAATATGACAATGTTACAGTTGACAAGGATGTGTTTGACAGAGACAATATTTAAAAGAATGACAGTTGGGTATGCAAAGTTTCCACGCATATCACCCCATTTTCACAGCTCTTTTTACTTATTCCATCAAGGATCTCATTCAGGCGACCTATGCAAACTTAATGAACTAAATGAGTGATATTGCGTTTTAATCTGATTACCTCTGAAGATAAGAATGTAAAATATGCCTATCGTATTCATCTGAAAAATCCTCTGTCACTGTTTGTTTGCCATAAATGTTTTGTCCCAGCTTGGGACTCATCGTCAGTAAGAACCAGCTTGGATTATAATCCAGGATCTTTGGGATACAAGGCAAGCTCGTAGACCATTCAGCCACTGGAATCCAGTTCAATGACCCATGAATTCTAACTTCCAGGCGTTTTTAATCAACCTTGTGGCCCGTCTGTATGATGTGTTTCGTGACAGATGATGTTGGACATCTATTCCCAGGGTCAGTTGTATCCGGCTATTTTATTTGTTGTTGCAGCCATTTTGGGACATGTTCTGTA